GGGGAAACATCCTATAAACTCAAGATAAAAGAATGTGGTGAATCAAGAAACAGATAATTGGTCACTAACATTTTTTTTTGTATCTCTCTAAAAACTCCCACTTGAAACCATTTGTACAGAGTTGGTTCTAATTAGAGTACTTTAGAAATATAGGTATACTGTGTTGTGCCTATAAAGAAGGGATACTATTTTTTTTTTTAAACCTGATCTTACAATGCCCAAAAGGATGTTATGTATTTTAGTATGACTGTCAGGGGACAGAGTCAGCTCCAAATATTTGACCTAGATAAACAGAATACTAGTCACTTCATCTGAAAGTACAGGATGATTAACTTGGACAACCACAGCAGCGGCAGGAGTCTTCCCCAGACTGTCTGCCTTCTCCAACCAGCAGCGACCCTTCCTAGGGCCTTTTACCCCCACTGCTTTTTATTGCCATGTTTTGAATTGTTCTAATGAGCTGTACGGTGTAGCGGAACTCTGAGGCATTTTGTCTTCTTGGGGTTATTCCTATGTCCCTGCCCAGATATATTTACCCATTTGTTAAGGTTTATGATGGATTTGTTCCCCCTGAATTAAACAAAATCTTTTCTTGCATTCTGCAAATCTGATAATCAGTCCATTACTAGCCATTGAGCCCTGGGAATCAAAGACAGCTGGGATCAGTTCTGTGGGCTCCTGAAGGTCCCTGCACCCTGATGCCCGTGTCTTATGCCTGCTGTCCTATAGGTCTGTGCCCCGGGAGCTTCACTCTGCTCTCCCAGTTCTCTCAGCTGCAATTCGCAGGCCCTGTCTGAAGATCTCTTTGTAAGAAGGCTCTCATTTGGGGTGGGGCTTTTAGAGACCAAAGCAGGCTGACTTGCAAGGCTGTAGGCCCCCAGAGCAGGCTGCTGAGGGGTCTGGCCCAGGGTGCTCTCCATGGGCACTGGGCTCTGAGCTGCTGCTGCAAAGCCAGCTCTACCGAGGGTGCCACCCAAGAAGGCGTTCCATCTCTGGGAGCATCTGAGTTTCTGTCTTTCAGAATTCCTGAAGAGCTTTCTGAAGGTAGGAGAAAGTATTAGCACACGGACGCAGCCGGCCCCACCAGAGGTGGTGCAGGAAGGAGTTGATGTGAAACAAAGGTGTTCAGGATCCACCCCAGCACTGCAGAACAGAAGCAAACTGAATCACACCCTTACCGAAGAATAAAAACTTTCTTTGATTGAGCTGAAATTCTAGTTCCTGTCCTTTGGTGGCAATACAGGGAAAACAAAACAACGCCCTCTTCCAGGTGATGGTCATTTGAGTAAGTGTAGGTAACAGCTATTTCCCCTCCATCTCCCCTGCTCTGAGAACTTTGCTGATTGTCCTTATTACGGTAGACACTGTCCTGGTTGCACTCCTTCAGACAGTGCATCTGTCTGTCTGTCCGTGCATCTTTTTTCCCTCCCTCAGGTTTGTGGCCCTGCAGCAGTGGTCCCATGCCCCAGGAGAGAGGGGGCCTGGCCCGGCCCACATGCAGACCCAGGCCTCAGGGCCCTGCGGTGTCCCTGGGCTGACACTGCAGCCAGGGCCGAGGAGCGCGGTCTGATTCTGTAAAGTTCAGAGGCGCCGATGGCTGCAGGGGTGCAAGGGGCGCAACGGGGGGCTAGGGCTGGTGGGGCAGAGAAGCGGTAGCTGTCACTGAATGGAGCCATCTCTCTGTGCCACGGAACTTGGTTTCATCTTGGTTTTTAGTTGAACTTTGATTTTCTTGTATGTTGATAGAAGACCAATATAACCCTGAGCTTCATAGCCAAGAGAGCTGTGCTTATGTTTTGGTTTTGGGTTTTTTTTGTATTTGTTTTTATGGTTCGTGTTTTATCATGTGTCTAGCAGGACTTTTGTTTTTGTTATTAGTTTGTATGTGCACGTGTGTGTGAGTGTGTTTGACACAGGGTCTTGAAAACAATGCTGCCCAGGCTGATCTTGAACTCTTGGACTCCAGTGATTCTCCCACCTCAGCCTCCCTAGTGCCGAGTATACAGGCACATACCCCTGCACCTGACTTCGCCAGATACTATTTTATTTTGCTGTCTTGGATGTTGCAGTGAGGCATTCAGAGTTAGGATAAGGAGGGGCATACATCTCCTCTTCCTATTCACTTCCTCCAACTTCATCACATTTACCTTTTTTTTCTTTTCTTTTTCTTTGATTTTTGAGACAAGGTCTCACTATATAGACCAGGCTGGCCTCAAGCTCGGGGCAATCCTCCTGCCTCAGCCTCCTGAGTTCTGGGATTACAGGGATGTGCCACATACCTGGCCATCACATTACCTTTTAACTACAGGTCTCTAACTCACACTGGATCAGCAGCTCACTTCAGCTCCTAGGTTTTCCACTAACAGTTGCTGCTAAGCCATTTCCCTGCCTTACATTTTGGCAGTTACTTTTTTTATTTAAAAAATTCACCTGTAGTGTGATAAAGGCCAAATTAGAGAGGGTACAAATTAGGTGTGCTGCAACAGTGGGCTTCCCAGTGCCGAATCCAGAATCAGAGCCACGCAGGTGGCCAACAGATGATACCGGAAAGCAGGCAGCAGAGACGCACACTGGCATTCATACTTTGTCTGAAGGCAGGTACCCAAAAGGGGGACTGCATATTAAAAGGACTAAAGAGGGAAATGCTGCGCATTGTGGGGATCTCACTTCATCTGTCCAGTATCCCTGGGATGGGGCTGTAATGGTCTCCGTATTACACATGAAGAAACTGGGGCTCTGAGGGGCCTCGAGTGCGTAAATGGGGTCTCAGGATGGACACTCAGGTCACTGTCGCCACCACACCACACTGCTACGGTAAGGAAGGGCTTTGTCCCACTGGGTCTCAGTGCGTTTGCTCCAGAGTTCACACCTTTCTGTCTTCCCAAATCCTGTTTCTGCAGGCCCTGTGCTGGTAGGTTAGGGAAATCTTCCAAGTTAGTAACTTTTCTCTCATTGCTGAGAAGAAATACCCGATACCCAATGTTAAAAGGGAAGGGGTTGATTTGGCTTACAGCTCATAGAGGGTTCAGTCCATAATTGGCTGTCTCCAAGGCTGGGATGGCAAACAGACATCACAGAGGAGACACAACGTGGAACACACAAGGTAGTAACAAGGGGTCCTCACTGCATCCTTTGGCCCCTTTTATCCCATCCAGACTACCGGGATTAGGGCAGAGCTAGACCAATCACTCACATGTAGTGGTTTAGGTAATCACAGGCCCTTAACCCCAGCATCACACACTCCAGATTCAGCCACCCCTAACCGAATGAGGCTTTGGGGGACATCCAGACCCAAACCATAGCACCTTCCCACTTTGGTGCAGTTTACTATACAGAGTAGCAGGTCAGGCCACAGAGAGGTAAAACCAGTTCTCTGTTCTTGACTCTGTCCATGAGAAATGGGAAGAAAAGGATTTTTAAAAATTAATGTATCTGATATATACAGTAGTTCCTAACTTATAACAGGAAAGGTGACTTGTAAGGCAGGTTTTGATTGTTTAAAGATATCTTTTGCCCTAGACAAAAACATCTTTTTAGCCAATAATCAGACTACGGACCATCTGCAATGCCTACTTAACCCGAAGTGTACATGGTACATGATGATAAAAATGCTGTCTCAACTCCATCATGGGTGTATCGCTTCCCTAGTTATAAGAAAGCTTCTGTCACCCCCTGGGTATGAGGATCTTTCTTAGGTTTCTAGGAGACCACAGAACCATAGGCCTGTGTCACCTGTCTGAATAATCAGTCTAGGGCTTTCTAAATCCAGCAATTATCTTCCTGATAAGAGATAAGCTGCTATAATGGAATACAAACTATCAGATTCACAAGCGAGGAACACTGGATTCAGATACCCCTTCTCCTCCTGCCAGCCTTAAGAAAACTGGGATTTGGGAACAGAGTTACATCTCAGGGCACTGACTATTCCCAAAGCCCCTTCCTGTGGAAATACTCCCAGTGCAGAGGTCCCTTTCTGCACTCACCCGGATGCTCCTCTGTGGTTCCACTGGCTTTGACATTTGGAAGGCTCAACTTTTTGACACTTGTCATTCTGCAGTTTTGTTTTTGTTTTTGTTTTTTTTTTTTGGAGAGGGGAGCTGATTCCATATGAAAATAATATTTGGCTCCTCAGATAAAGCTATTTGGCAGGGGCCAGATGCCCAGGGAGCTGGGGGCCAGACAGGAATGTGCCTGAGCCCCTGCACCTCTCCGCTCTCACTCACTGCCACCTACTCTACCCTTATGCAAAATTGCATACCTTGTTAGAGCTGAAAGTCCAGGCCCATGTCTAGGAAATCTCTCAGCCCTGGAAGCAGTTTTTAAATTTCAAACTTACTATTTTCTGTTCTACATCTCAGTCTCATTGTGTCCATCTCACTGCCTGGTCCTTGGTCAGAACCCTGTGGCAAATGACCTAACAAGAACCCGGAACCCTGCAGCAGCAGGAGGTGGTGAAGTGTGCGCATGCGCATGTATGCGTACGCCTGTGCGGGGGTGTGTGCGGGGGGGTGTGTGCATGTGTAAGTATACCCAGAATTCAGATGCATGCTATATCAGTAGTGGACACACATTTGGAGAACTTCTGTGACACTCAGTCTTGATCGCTGTGAAAGATAAGTAGCCTAAGGCGTGGCTTGCAGGGGAGTAAACCCATTAGCAGTCAGGCTTCTGAGAGCCAGGGTGATGAGCTGGGGTGTGTGAGAGACAGAGCGCAGCCTGGCTGGGCAGGTGCGCAAGGGACAGAAGCTCCAAGTTCTCCAAGCTGGAGCCAAGGGCTGCAGGAAGGGGATGAAAGCAAGGACGAGGAGGGTCCCATCGTGAAGGCTTTCTCTGCTGTGCCATGTTTTATACCCTAAGCAGTCGGAAACCAGCTGAGGAAGAGACATGGCCAGGCGGGTTAGGCAGCAATGCTGAGGCACGTGTGCTAAAAATATCCCAGACTGGAGGGAAGTAGGATTCTTTCTTCATCGCTGGAAAAATAAAAAGAGTAAAGCTCTTACCTCAGCTCTGGGTAGAAATCTCTGCTTCTTCCTCCGGAAATCCAGCTCTGTCTTCTCCTTTGTGGTTTTGTGCTGGTGCCTTCTCAGTCTGGTCTTGCAAGCAAAGCTAGCAGATGGCTCTCATCCTGCGCACTGCCCGGGGCCTGCTCACGTGATGGGCTGATGACTGGTCCCCGCCTGCACGCCTGACCTTTCCGTTCCTGAGCTGGCCACTCGCACTCTCAATGGAACCATCGTGCATGCAGACTCACCGGCCCCTCTTAAGTCACACGTGTGGCGGAAGCACGGAGGGCCACGATTAGTAGGCCAGTAAGACACAGTTTTCGGATCTTGAGCTTTGACATGAATACATTATCACCAGTCTGGAGTTGGGTCTGCCCTTCTGTTCTTGGTTGCTTTCATTTTTTTCCTTTCTTCTCCTTCTGTGATTGTCATGACTCCTTCATTTTTCCATAATTTTAGGGTGGCATGGATCCAGTTCAGAGGAAGTGAACATTTCTGCTTGTTCAAACTTTTTCTCCTCAAAGTTCAAGTGTTGTGATGGGAAGATTGAATGATCCATCCAACCTTGTCTGCCGAACGGTGTGTCAGGGCAGGCAGGCTGGTTGGAAAGCATCCCACGCACGTCTACCATGTCCTGCTCCAAACTCACCCGAGTGTGTTCACCCGTGGACGTTTGTGTGTAAAGTTGCTGAGGGCCCTGTTGCCAGGAAAGAACCAAGAGAAATAGAGCTGCTGAGAATGGAGGGGCACAGAGCAGGCATGTGGGGGAAGAGGGGGCAGGCAGGTGAGAACTGAGGGGTAACGGTATGGGCATGGAAAGGAAGAGGGGAAAGTAATCGGGATGAAAGAAGGGTTCGGAATGGGCCGAGTAACATAATTAGTGCACCTTCGGCACTCAGGCTTTCTGCAGCACAGCAGTATAGATTATGTCAGGAAGCTAGGTGTGGATGGGCCACTGTGATTGCCCCTGGTGTGAGTGCCCCTGGTGAACACCCAGATGCAGACACTGGGTGCTGTTTGCTTTCTCTCTCCTCCGCTTGCCATGCCCTGCAGGATTTGATGTTGGCCATCAGCCAAAGACCAGTGGCAACTGAGTCTGTTTTGATTCACCTGGCAGTACATGGGATTTTTAGCCACCTTCACACACACACACACACACACACGCACGCGCACACACACACACACACACACACACACACACACGAATATTCTCCCAGTGCCGGCTCCTGTCCTTGCAGTTACTTCCCTAAACAGTGGAACAGCTCCTTTTATTTATAAACTGTTTTTGTTTTTAATTTCCAACTTGGGCTCCTGAGGTCTCCTCAGCGTGGTGTGACCTGGTCCACATGAGCAGGGTGCCCCTCGGGAAAGCGCCAGGCAGCGGAAGCTTTGAGTCAGCCGCGGAAAGTGTGTCGGCTGTTCCAGGATATTCCACTGCTAAGAATTGCTCTGAGTGTGTGTTTTTTACTGTCTCCACTAGTATGTGGGCAGAGCTGGCATTCTGCTGGGGCACACTCTGGAGTACCCTTTCTGCCTGATCACTGACTATTGGAATATTTTGTAAATATTTGGAGTACCGCCCTTAGGCATCGGCCAGGCTGAAGATGTGCACAATTCCACATTTTCCCTTGCGTTAGTTGGTGTTTGGGCAGTGGGCTGCGTCAACACCTGGATGGACATGCAGCCCTTGGTGGGAAGGAGCCGGGCCCCACTCCTCCCTCGGAGAGATGCTGTTCACACAGTCAGCTGGGGGCAACCTTTTGAATCCCTGTCCTGTCTTTCTTGGTTTGCTCACCAGCTTCCCTGCCTCTCTGGAAAGCAAGTGCTCCAACCCCAGGCCCTGAGTAGACAGAGAAAAGCTTTTCAAAATGAAAAAATACATTTTCAAAATGGCCAGCAATGGCCAAGGGTTTCCTCTACCACAGCCCCAAATCCCAGTGCTCTGGGAGGTTCTTTTTCTTCAAGCAGTGAGGCTGTGCTGCCTGGGGCTGGATGCTGAGGAGCAAGTGGGCCTCGGGACAGAGTGGCTTTGCGGCCAGGCCCCTCCTCACATGCCCGGCACCCACTGTTGGGTCCAGCTGGGGTATCCAAGCTTGCGGGGCTCCAGTCCTAAGGCGGGTTTAGCGGCAGGGCTGGTGGACATCAGCCCCGGCTCCCATGTGCTGAGTTCATCCTGTGCTGGTCGTTGCTCCTCTGCCATCTGGAAGCTATTAGTGTGGAAATGGTTTCAAGCGTCTGCTGAGTATGGGTTCTGGGGAGGAGGAGGCCCGGCCCGGCCCCCCACCCTGCCACGAGTCTTCACTTCCTGTAGGATTTCCAGTGTAAACCCCGTGAAGCCCTGCCCTCCAGGCCACCCCTGCTCTTCATTTCTCCCACCCCTTCTCCATGCTTGGGACCCCAAGGGCAGTGACGTGGGGGGGGCTGGCATCTGTCCCCACTTTGTGGGATCATGGGGAAGAGGGTGCTGAGTCACTTTCCTTAAAAATCCATAAGAAGGATGACTGCACTTTACATTCTTTGTGGCTGACATTTTGCAAAGGGGACCTCTCAGAAGAGCCTGAGAAGGAGCGATCTGAAGTCCTTACCAGGACCACATCATCACAATAGCTGCCCACGGTCCCTGGCCCTGTGCTGTGGGCTCTGTTCCTTGTAGTAACCCTGAAGCAAGGATACTGGGGCACAGAGAGCTTCACGCTTTTCTAAAGGAAACTCGGTCCTCACCAAGGTCTCTGCAGTCTGCAGCCTTTTGCCCAGGTAGGGCAGGCACCCCAGGCGGCCGAGGGGCAAACATCTGCAGTTCACGTAAGATGCTGTCGTACAGCGGTGGGTTTTTTAAGGAAGCAAAACAATCTTTTGAAAGGAAACTCATGCAGCCTGTCAGCCTCTTGCCAACTCTTCGATGGTGCAACCTGCCAAAAACAGCCCAACCTTGTTTGGGGTATGAAAGCAGCTGTTATAATAAACTCCCCGGCTCTGCCTCTTTTCCTGTTATGGTGGAATGGCTGTTTAAAGTAAATGTCGCCAATCCGTGGATTTTCTGGGGTCATGAAAACAGTCTTTAATTGGCAGGCTCAATTACATTTTTCGGTGAAGTTAGGAAGCAAACAGAATGACCCACCGTTTCAGAGCCCCTCCAAATGCACGCCCGGGACTTTGTTCTCATCCCCGCTCTCCGGCAGCATCAGCATCTGTCGATCTGGAGCGGATTCCACAGAGAATGGGTCTCGGCCTCTCTTCTGTCCCAGGACTTCCAGAGCAAGGGCGGTGGGCACACAGAACTTGGAATTGGAGCTGGGTTGAAATCCTGGCTCTGCCAACTGTGGGTGTGGAGCTCCTGAGCCTCGCTCCTCTCATCTGTAAGATGGGTGCGATCTTAACTCCCCACCACGGAGTTCGAGGCAGCATAAAAATATTAGCAATTATTACATAGTTCTTGTAGATGTCGTGTGCTGTTCTGGGGTTGTAATCTCCCAACCACCCAGTGAGATGTGTACAGCTCTATCTGCTGTACTCTGGGTGTACGTGAGCCAGAATCCCTGCTGGCATGGAACTCGCATTGCTGGAGGAGGACAAAAGATGGTATATGTTAAACGGTGAAAATAAAACAGCAAAGGAGGATGGAGGGTAGGGATTGGAGGGGTGGTGGTTTCAGTTTTCAAAAGACAGCCAGGAAAGCCTTATCTGAGAAGGTGACATTAGAGTGAAAACTTGAAAAAAGCGCAGGGGAGAGCCATGAAGGCGTGTAGTTGGAGAGTCCTCGGCTGAGGAGACGATGCATGCAAAGGCCCTGGGGCGACAAGTCTGGTGTGTTCTAGGAATAGTGAGGAGGGCAGCATAGCTGGGATAGAAGGGGTGATAGTTTTGCTCAGGGTGCAGTGAGGGCCTTGTGGACCTCCTCAGCTCTTGATGAAACAGGAAGCTCCCAGAAGAGACCGGGCAGAGTTGGGACACGACGAAGACGAAGCCAGATGTGACAAAAGACATTTCATTTTCATTCACGACAGCTGCTGCTCCTGCTGTTGGTTCCCACAAGGACAGCTGCCAACTTTTGGAGACCGGTTAAATAGGCCACTTCTTAATGGGGCATCTGGGCCTCCTCTGGCGACACTGTACTTGTTGATTCTAACAACAGAAGAACTTTCTCTAACTTCCCCTGTGTTTGCGTGCAGCCTCCGCTCTTCTCCTGGACAGAGCCGTCTTACCGCCACCCTGCTCTCCTTTGTCTCGATGCCGCCTTAGGCTGGCTCCGTAGACCACTGCAGGCTGTGGACTCCAGAGGAGCCCAGCAAGCAGGAGAAGGGACAAGGCAGAGGGTGGGGGGTGGGGGTGTTTGTAAGTGGAATCAGTGTAACCGGGCACCGGAAAACTTAGGAGCACCTACAAATTCCGGCGAGAAAGAATTCTGATAGCCTCATACTTCTTTGAAGGTCAGTTCTGAAGCTCAGGTCCGTGGCAGCTCCTGGAGCCCAGGCACCTCCTACGAGTGGTGTCCAAGTGTGCGCCTCAGGGTCTTCGCTGGAACGAGGCTGGCACTTATGTGCAGCTTGATTTCTCAGTCACCAGCCGTGCTTGCCACACTGGAGTGAGAATCCGTAACACCCTGATTTGACCGGTGCTATTTATGGCATTTCCACGCTAGAAAGCTAAATTACAGTCTCCTAGAAGTTATGCGATGTCTTTCTGAAAACATCAAGGTGCGCCATCATTCAAGGTCTGTTTTGCCTCCTTGCTCGTGCGGCCTTAATCCCCGAGAATTCACCCTGTGTATTAGATCATTTGTTCTCACGCGCTCTTCACGGTCTTGGAAACACCTCCAGTTCTAGCGATGCTTCCCACATACACACAGGGGCTAAGTCATTAAAACAACCTAGGCCCGAGGTCGGAAGCCCCCTTCCCTCCTTCACGGAACAAGGCCCACAGGCAAGAGGAGGGTGGAGGTCAGAATGGGAACAGAGAACAATTAAACAAGAAAGTGCAGCCGCTTCCCTGCAATACAGGAAATACCCGTTGAGCATCCCTGATCTGAAAGTCTGAAAGCCGGAATGCTCCCAGATCTGTTCCTTTCTGAGCACTCGCACGATGCCATGGGTGAAAGATTCCACACCTGACCTCACGGTACAGTGAAAACACAGACAGGCTAAAAATCCTGGGCCACAGGTTTTGTGTCTGTGCTGTATATCATGGTTATATCTCTTTTTCCCCCCAGACAGGAACTCACTGTGTAGTTCAGATTGGCCTTGAACTATTTAGCTCAGGCTGGGCTCAAACTTGTAGCAATCCTCCTGCAACATAAATGCACTGTATGCTTAGATTTGAGCCTTATCCCAAAGTTATCTCATTATATGTACAAATATTCTAAAACCCAAACACCTGAAATGCGTGTGGTCTCAAGCATGTGTGGTAAGGGTTACTGAACCTGTAACCCGTATGCATTCCCGAAGTCCCCACTGACACGATGTCCGCAGTGTCGCTGCTCACCTGCAGGTGTACAGGAGGCACCGAGGGAGCTCTGGGGGCTGCCGCTGTCCCATCGCTGGAGTGCTGCCACCGTTGATTCTGCCTGGTTCAGATAAAGCCCACAGGAGTTCTGAGCTGGGACTTAACAGAAGCCAATGAAAGGATTTGTTGAGAATGACTAATCCCATGCCCTGGAATGCAAACCATGCACAGTTTATGGTACCTAAGTACGTACCATAGAGGACGCAGGTGCGCTTTGATATCTGGTTCCAGACCTGCTCACTAAAGAACTAGTGAGAACCCTTCATCAGTGCGCTAAGGAAATAATTCTGGTGCTGTCAGAATCCATTTCCACGTGGCCACACCGCTCTTCCCCCGCTGGTCTTTTGGAGGCATCGGGGTCCTGGAAGCATGAGGGGCAGGGTGAGCTTAATCTGATCAGTGATGCGGACCACCAGGACCATCGCGGCACAGGAGCCCGTGCATCTGTTCTTCGGTGGCATAAAAAATTTCTGATTGTTCATCAAGATGGAAAACCATGAAGTTTCTCACGACAGATTCAGGCTGTGTTGCTGTCTGCCACTATCGTTTTACTGTTGTCCTGGTTATTGGGGAGCAGTGGTCTGTGCCCCAAGTACATTTCACAGAGAAAGCATTATTTGTCCAGAAGCATTTTTCTCCCGGAATATCAGACTAAAATCGTTTCCCCTATTTGACACTCCTGTGTCACATTAAATGTCCCCTTTGAAGAAAGTTCCAGGTACATCCTGGAATCACCAAGGGTGATTTATATTGACCAGAGTCAGTTAGTATTGTGCTTTCAGGTGTATCCTCCAAATGATACAGGAAACTCTCGTTCGCCTCTACTTCTATACTGGTTTCAAAGGTTTGGGTCGTCCTTCCCCAGCTTTGGCTTGGTGTCTTTGGAACTGTGATGCTTGGCTTAATAGAAACAATAAAAATTAACAGACTCAGGACTGGGAGAGTGGCTCGGTGGTAGAGTATTTGCCTGGCGTGCGCAGGGCCCTGGGTTTGATTGAGCCCCAGCATCACAATCAATAAGAAAAATAAGATTAATGGAGTCAGTTTGGTCTCTAAAGTCTATAGCTGTTTTGTGTTTCTTGAAAATAAGTGACAGGAGGGGAGTCGAGGTTGAAAAAGATCTTGGAAATGCCTTTGCCAGAAAAGACCGCTGTTGCTGTCCAAACTCAGCTTCCCTGAGTGGGGGGCACAGGACAGGAGGGTGGGGCCACCGTGTTGGGCTCACAGTTTCAATGCAAAGTCGAGCAGAAGTCTGGCCAGCCAAGGCTGCAGGTGGAAACCTTAGTGCTGGGCCAGGGTCATGGCTCAGATGGCCAAACACTTGCCTAGTGTGCCAGAGCCTTGGGTCCAACCCCTGGCTGGCATCACTGTGTCCAGAATCTCCAGGGAAAAGATGTGAAAACCCCTAGCGGTGGGACTCTCCGGAATGGTGACCAGATCAATACTTATTTCCCTCCCGATATACTGGATTGACTGTCCTAGATGTCCTTTTACATGATTGTGGCTCAAGAATAGTTTGTACTTTATTACGTACCCTATGGTCTGTGTCAACTCTGGGTCCCAGTGAGCAAAGCACAGATCCTCCACCTCAGATCCTCCTAGCCTCTCATGACACAAACTGCCCAACGCAGGGACAGTGTCCCTACAGTGTGTCCCTAAGCCTGCCGTCACTCCCATGCTCTCCTCGTCTCCTGTCTACAGAATCACAACTCTTCTCTTTTCCTTGTTTAAATACAAAATGTATTTCTCTCCCTTACCCTGATCCTTTCCATCCTACCCAGAGCCGGGCAGCAGGAGCCTTTGAAAGAAGGAGCCCTCCCTGATCCGCGGGGCCTCCTGGAGCCCTGGCTCTTCAGCCCCCCTTGGATAAACATTTCTCCCGCATGATTTGTGCCCGGCCGCGGAGTAGGCGGGAGTAGAAACAGATGCGCCTCCCACCAAGCTCCAAGCCATGAGGAATGCCTTTTGTGCCATAGTCCCGTGGATGAAATTTAGTAAATGCACCAATCACGTGCTCATTTGGGGCGCTGTATGCACTAATAAATTAGTGCTTCTAATTTTATAAGCACTGTCATAACCATGGCTGTAAGTGGGCCTTTCCCTGTGACCGTGCTCAGTACGTTCCTTTGCTTTACTAGGTGCTGTTTATTAGGTGTTGTTTCCCCGAAGTGCTGTTGAAGGTGACAGATTATTTCAGGGCAACCAGCAGGTTGCATTTCCAGGTGCTTGGTTGTCTGGACCAGCTTTGCTGTGGCAACACAACTGCTTTCCTGCAGGAGGGAGCAGTATTGGCAGGAGCAAGAAAGTCTAGAGTTAATTTTAGTGCTCATTTAGGAAAGAAGCACATTTGATGAATCACTGAGTCTCTTTTAGTTCCTCTTCGAGGCTGTGCACGATGTGGAGGGAATGCAACAGCGCTGGCTCTATGTTTGCAGAGAGGACACAGCTGGCCCGGCACCAGTAGGACCCGGGCCTGCACTTGCTTTCCCGGCACTAGGACTGGTAGGCTGGACCCTGCTTCTGTGGGTGGTCAAGTGGAGCCCATCCCTGAGGCCCTGCTGTGTGGTGGCTGCCTCAGCATAGTACCTCTTCTTACGGGGAGGGACTCTTGTACCACAGACTATTTTAAAGAATAGTAAGTAACGAGCTTGCATGATGTTGTAAGCTACGTGCATATTTCTGCTGCAAACTAGAAGTAAAACTTGCAAGTGAATCCCAAACTCCATGTGCTACATTCACGAGGGTACAGGAGAACGCCTGAAGCTCAGTATGAATGCGGACGGTGTGCAGTCCTCACCCAAAGGCTCTTCTTTCAGTCTGTTCATCCCTTTTGAAACACAATTAGGAGCTATGTGGCCATTTGGGGAACATACATTTCCTTGAGCCTGAACTCCATGGAAGCGACCTTACCCTAAGAATTTCATACCACATGAAACTGTGTGTATTTTCTTTATCTCTGATCTCCATTACCCACTTGTTTCCAGAATAACGTGTCCCTGGCCAAAGGTTACTGTTCTCTGGTATCAAAGCTCGATTTCAGGAGGCTTCTGGATCCCTTCTCCACCGTGAACAGCACAGCCATGTAATTCTGAAATTCTCTTTCAGTTTCTGGCTTGCCTGTTGGTATCACAGATTCCTCTCTGCATCTTGTGAATGTAAGGGAGTTTCACTCACCTTTGGACACTTGGGTTTCCTTTTTTCTGTCTAGTCGATGGGGCTTTCATTCCTCTGGGGGTCCCTCCGTCCAAACTCAGCTGTGCCGTCCAAGTTCTCCTGGGCTTTGTCTCGGCCTCACCAGAGAACCCGCCTGTGGGCGGCAGCTCAGACCAGTCCACGTGAGAAGGAAATGCAGGGTTAAGATGAACCCATACCTGTGCATTAGACAGACGTGTAGGAATTGAATCTCAGATATCGCCAGCATCCCTGGGCACCTAAAGTCATCGCACCCTGCAGAGATTATGAATTTGGAGTTTGCTGCATTTCCATGGATGTCTGTAGTTCAGAACATCTACTGTGTACAGGTACTGCGAATAGGAGTACAGGTGAGGTCTGCAGCCCTGAGGGAGAGGCAAGGCGACGGGCTCCATACGAGCTCCACTGCGTCCGGCTTGGCGCTGTCAGGGATCCTGACGGTCTCGCGTGATTATGTGGACACAGCAGCTGCTGGGTTTATGTAAACGGGATGGGTCAGTTGCCGTAAGCCGAGTGGCGCACTGCCATATGTCCAACAGCCAGCTCTCCACAGGGCGAAGGCCTTGCTTGGGAGCTGTGCACACACTTCCATAGCATAAATGGCCCAGCACGACCAGTTTCGGCCTTCCAAGGTCACATCACGGACCTGAGGAGAGACAGTTGGTTCTCAGTGTCAGCTGGCCTCAACCACACCCCGATAAATCTACGGGACATTGAGCATTCAGATTTTCTTTAGACGCCCTTTTTTAGGGGGGCAGGTGGCACAGGCCTGTCTCCCTGACTTGGCTCTTCTCTTCATGCTAAGTGTCCACAAGTACAGTCTTCACTTGAAGAAATAAGACAAATACTCAGAGGAGCGAGGAATGTCAGGCCATGAAAATGTTTTCATTTACTTTGAAGCCTGTTTTCCCCCCATTGAAACATCTGTTCTCTTGGCTACGAGAAAATCAAGTAGGTGTGTGAGAGTGAGCAGGGTTCGGCTTCTAGGCGGGCACCCGCAGGTCGGCGATCTGCCGCATCCTGTAGCCAAGTTTCCTGTCGTCACTGCATTAGTCCCTCTGCTGCCCTCAAAGCGACACTTGGACGGCAGCGGCACCTGAGGCAAGGGTTGGGTGGGGCTTGAAATTACTGCAGTGTAGAAACGCTGGCAAGGGGCTAAAGGCTGCTCCATTGTAACCCGCCCCACTCACCCGAGCCTCCAGCACAGATCTGGGAACCTCTCAGAGCCCCAGGTGTCTGCAGACGAGGCTGGGCGGGTGGGAGCAGTGCTCTCGGATGCTTCTGACTGGCAGGCCCTGAGCAGCTTGCCTCTCCCGGGACGGCCACACCTGGGCTACAGGGCAGCAAGCTCAGCATGTCCCTCGTCACCTAGAAGGCTGGCACTGAGGTGAGTCCCGTTGCTGGGACCCACACCTCCCCAACAATGGCCAAAGTGCTGGAGAGTACTGGGTTAAGGCAGTGTGAAAGGATTTCTCCAGAAACATGAACCCTCCAGGACGAAGATGGCATTGAAAGGACTGGAGAGACTCCAGTGAGTGTAACCCTCAGACGGGGGCGTTGGGCACAGCTGGGCCGGGGGCAAAGCTGATGCAGAGAGGATTCGATGAAGAGGGAGTCTGGGTGCGGCTGGAAGGAAGTGAAAGGGGAAAGTAGTTCAGAAGAGAGGCACATCTCAAGACCCAGACAGACAAGCAGCCCTTTGTGGGGAGCTCACAGGCATCCGTGGCTTGTTTTTTCCCTCCGTACTTATATCTCAAATAAGTGAAGAGATGTGATAGGATGAGAACGGAGCATGATGAAGCCATGGTGTCTTAGGCTAGGAGTCAGCAGACCCAAGCCCAGTTCGTTTTCTGCCAACTTTTGATAAGTCCTGTGCCTTCTTCTTTGCTGCTACCTTCTCTGGCCCGATTCCTGCAATAGTTTGAGTCCTTAGAGGCACAAGCCATTGGAGATTGGCTTTTGAGGTTCCTGCTGCAGTGTCATAGGTCTGTTTTCCAAGGAAAATCCAATAGGGTTTCCAGCTGACACTGATGGAGGCTGCCCCGAATGCCCTGTGGTTTGCCTTAGGCTGATAAAGCTACAGCCTCTTCCAAGCCCACCCCATTACAAAAATGCCACCACCATTGTGGGTTTTCTTGCCAGCCAAACCTCCAAGCTGATCCTGACCTCTCTTAGAAGAAGAAACGTTTATTTAGGGTGGAAGAATTAATTACCTTGCTTCCTAGGTATCTCACCACAGATGGTAAGAGAGAAATTAGAGCTCACAGAAGCCTTGGTCTTGTAGTAGTTAACTAGAGAGTAAATTTTACTGCTCATTTCTGAGAAAGGTCATCTCTCAACATGTGGAAGGTTGCCTCTGCACTCTTTGATTTTGACAGAATACTTCCAGTGAAAGTCTCTACAGTTTATCTAGTTAGGCCCCCTTCATCTTGCTTTAAGCTCAGAGAAGCAATACATGAGAGATCTGTGTTCATCTCCCTACCTAGCCACCCCTGGCTGGGAGATTCAACTTCTTTGAACCTCTCCTTTCCTAAAATCTATAAAATTAGGGTCAGAATTCATGCTCCGCCGGGTTATTAGAGGGACTATAGGTAACAAGGCGGGGGGACCTAGCCCATATCAAGTCCTTGGGAACACACTTGTCCCCAGCGACTCCGCTTTCTTTCACATCAACAGCACAATATCACCCACTAAAGAAATGTCCGGGGACATCCCCCCAAATACCCGGAACTGTCTGTCTCAATTATACAAGGGACTCTGATGGCCCAAGTGGAATTTTCATGAGTTCTTTTAACGAAAAGATGGAGTGCCTAGTCACAGAAGGACCCTGTGTGGTGGTGCAGGATAACGGAGTTGTCAGGCCTGCGCAGATGCGTCTCTGGGATTGTCGGCAGTTCCCTCTGTGCCCATAGAATGAAAAGACCCGGAGTACAGCGAAGAGGGAGGGATCTGGCGAGGAGGGCTGGCGTGAGAGATGGGACGGCTGACCTCCCCGGCCAGCGCGGGCGCCTCTGCTCACAACTGAAAGCATTTGTGGACAGCTCCTATAAGAAAGGATTCCCGTTCTAGAAACCCTAAGGGCGAAAGCTATGGCGTTCTTCTGAGACACGGTATGTTCTAGTGGACGCTATGTTCTGAGCGGCGGGAGTGTTACATCTGTTTTGCCTATAGTTCTTTTCTAGTAGGCAGAATAGAAATTATAAATTTAAAATAAATAATACATACTCTTTTTGAAAAACATTAAAACCAAACCAGAACTGCCTGCCTTGTCTCTTTATGTATGTGAAATAAATATTTAATGACAAACAATCATATGCTTGCTAAATGTGCAGAATATGACTCTAACAACGAACCCTGAAGAGGCCACACTCTCTCTCATAAAGCTTTCTTCTAAATACTTTTTCTGGTCTGAATTCACCTTTCTGAGTATACAGTTGCTGTGAGGCTTCATTTATTTTGCACAGAAAGTAGTTCCACTGCCAGCTCTTGTCCTGCTTCCCTTTTTGTGATTCGCTACATCATTTAGGAAACTTGGCATAGTGAAGTGTCCAGTGCTGGGATTTGTATTTGGGAAACTAAATTACTCACTAATAAAAAAGGTTATACCAAGTAAGTCCGTATCTCATCCTAGAGTAAATGGCCAAAGCCTGGGGGATAAAGTGGTTTTTGTTTGCATTCAACTTTTGTTCTCATGATATTGCATAACACTCACCCGACTCACCCGGATGGTAGCTCTGACTGTTTTGTTGCTTCGGAGGGCATTTTAATTACATATAGGAATTTATTTGAATCATCAGTTACTGTTAGAGCCAAATCATTCCCTTGGGTTTATGGGAATATGTGCCACCAGGCAGCAGATTAATAACTGTGGAAAAACCACATGAAAAGGTCACTTCCAATCTCAGATCAGAATCTGTGGTCTTCCGGATTTTGCAATCTCCCAGCTTTGGAAGCTTCTCTTTGGTGACATGACCCGAGTGACAAGGGCGCAGAGCTGCAGACAGGAACATTAGGACAGCCCAGCAGTGGTCCTCCTCCGAAGGGGAGGGATTGGTCAGCCAGGTCCGTTTTAGCAGACGGAACCAACTTCAGTGGTTCACATGGTGGGAAATACGATGCAAAGAGGATCCTTTCTTTCCTCCAGAGAGAACAGGAAAACAGGTTGGACTGGAGCCTCGACCACAGCATTTGGGAGGGCTCTGCATGGGGAACCACAGCAGCAGGATCTCTCTCTGCTGCTGAGTTCTCCTGGCCCTGCACTGTCATTCCTGGAGCACTTCAATTACGCTCTGCACCCCACTCCCTACCTCGTCCCCTACTTCTTACTGGAAACATGTTATTATTATTATTATTTTGGGTGGGTATTTTCAGACAGGGTCTCACTGTGTAGTTGAGACTGACCTGGAACTCACTATGTAGCCCAGGCTGGTGTCGAACTCACAGCGATCCTCCTGCCTCAGCCTCCTGAGTGCTGTGATTACAGGCGTGCCACCACCACGCCCAGCCAAAACATGTGTTATTAGAAACAGGGCAACTCGGACAACTTTGGGTTTGGACACCAGGGACCAAACTGTCAGCTTCTTGTAACTTCCGTAGACTATTCAAGGAGTTAACCAGCGTGGGGTCTGGCTTCCTCAGGCCCCCAGCATCTTCTGAATAACAAAGACTTGGACCCCGAAAAATACATTCAGACCAGGAGCCAAGAATGGAACAGGGCGGAGATGGCTGAAGAGGGGTAACTGATGGGAAAACTTGGACTTGCAGTCCCTCTCTGCCTGTGCTGGCTGCATTACAGAAGGGCAGTGTGGGCCAGCTTTTCGAAGAAGCCGGTCCCTTGGTGGTAAAGGCACAACTGCTGCGCTTCCTGAGCCAGAGTCCTTATCCCCCACACTGTGCAGTGGGCCCTCTGCCCTCACCCCATCCCCACGGGAACAGAATCCTCCGTCTCTGGGAAGTAATGCTAAGAAAACAAACACTACAAAGGCTGGTAACAGGGGGATGTCTCTCTCCAGTGTGTTTTTGTGACATCCAGCTTCCAGGAGGAAGGAGTCCCCCAGCTCCGGAGCCAGCAGGGTCCCTTTGTAGTAGGCATCTGTATGTTTGGCCAGATGTCCTCCCAGGGGAGGGCAGAGAAGAAAAGATGAAACAGAGTTCTTATTAAAAATAAGTCTTCAGGGGAGGAAACATAAGTCGGAGCAAGTGTGTCAAGTGGAAAGGGAGGCGGCAGTGCCCTCTGAGGTTGATTAGGGCAGGTCCAGCCGGCGGAGCAGTGCGCACGCCCTGAATAAGGGCCCTGCTCTCTGGAATGCCGGCCTTGGCAACCCCTGGGGGCAGATCCGCAGGGGAGCCTGGGGCACAAGACGGCCAGTGGCGACCCCGTGCTGCTGCACCCGAGGGACAGGACGGGAGGGACGGCGCCAGCCTTGCAGTCAGGTCCCGTGGCTCCTGGTCTCGCTGTCCCTGCAGTCTTCCCTTTTCCCATCAGTAACACAGCGACCGTGAGCATGTGACCCTGGTGCTGCCTTCCAGGCCTCAGGCTCCATGCTGTGCCATCGCCTCTGCTCTCACCAAATCTTTGGAGGCTCTGCTGGTGGAATGTAAAAAATCGCCCCAGAGGTGGAAAAAGCCCCCCCGCCATGACCCTAAAATGCAAAAGGAAAAAGCCCCCAACAAGCATGGAAGTGTCACCGTCTTCCCCAGGAAATGGGTCCAGCATTCCTGTGTGTGTGTCATCCTGCTGTTTTACAGCACACACGCGCGCGCCCACACACACACACACACACACACACACACACACACACATCCTCAACATGGAACGTGATATGTTTGTGGCTCACCTGCACTTCCTCCTCTCCGATTTCAAAAACGCTTTCACCCTCACTGCATATGAGATCTTTGTCTCATTTTAAACCACCAGGTTACAGGCAGGGAAAGAGCTGAAGGCTGTGTGTGTGGGTGTATCCATTGTTTAGTTAAGGGTGGGCCATTGAAAATGTTTGCTTTCCTTTTTCGGCAAATGTCATGAGGACAGCAGTATTTTAATACTAGGTGAGGCCAGATCCCACTAGGAATGGAAGAGGAGGCTTCTGCTAAGAATAAAAGGTGTTGGGCCAGGGATTTAGCTCAGTGGTTCCGTTTCCTGCCTCAAGTTAGATCCCTGGCACCCAAAAGAATAAAAGGTCTTGCCAGGCATGGTGGCTCACACCTGTAATCCCAGCACTTAGGCTGAGGCAAGAGGATTGCTAGAAGTTCAGGGCCAACCTGGGCTGCATAGCAAAACCCTAACTCAAAACAAGAAGAATAAAAGGCCTCACGCGAGGATGCAGCCGTGGGAAGGGAAGGACCTGCAGAAGCAGGTCCCGTGACACAGCAGTGGGATGGTGGTGGTGGCTGGAATCTGGGCTGCGGCGCGTACTGGGTTTCATTTCGGCTCTCAGCAGCACTCGTCCTTGCAGGGTTACTGTGAGGTTAGAGGTGTTGTGTGGAACCTGGGGTAGTGCAGGAAATGCACAGTGTAAAGATGGCAGTGACGACGGACATATCCCACACGAAGATTAACCGGCTGACCAAACTGGAGAAGGCGTGCAAGAGAAGGATTCGGGGCATCTTGAGTTTAGCCACTCAAGGGAGTGAGGTAGTATTTCGTTGGGGGATACAGGAGATGTGTTTTGGAGAGCTAGCACTGAGGTCAGTTTTGGACATCAGCAGGGGTCCTGAGCTATACATCTGGCTATTAAAGAAGTAGGCTAGAAAGGAAAGGCAATAAATATGTGGGAGAATAGTAACACAAAGTGTTTGATTTACGCCAGGTCTGTTTGACGAATGAGCCTGATTTTTACAGTTTCACCTCCAAGGAACTAGTAACTAAAGGCTGGCCCAGCCCACCCGACTTCTAAAGCAGCCCCCTCCCCCGGTGTGGCCCACAGACCAGGCGTCTTGTGATCCTGCCACCACCGGAGCTCCCAGCACAGACTGCCAAGTTGCAATCTGCATTTCAGCACTGTGCTATGGGAGTCCCCAAAGGGCAAAAAGCACATTCTGAAATGCTGCTTCTCAGCATGCTGGGCACCTGCCAGGCATCCCCAGGCCTCCTGAGTCAGGAATGCTGATTTAATGAGCCCTTTAGGTGACTGTGTGTACCCCAAAGTCTGAGGAGTGCTTCTCTGGGCCAAGAAGCAGGCGGCTCAGGCTGCTCCCCGTGTCTGTAGCCCGGAACACCGGGGTTGAACCCTGGGAGGTAAATTGAAGTCATTGTTATACGCTGTTACCATCATCATTTTGCATTAACCACAGCTGAAGAACTCTTCACAGAAGAAAGGAAGTCTGTAAAATTATAAACCAAAGGAGAGAAGCTGCAGCTATGGCTTAATCCTGGTGACATGCCCATCAAAAGTGATAAGCACAGTTCTAAGAGATCAATCCTCTCTGTGCTGCTGCTCCTGGGGGACGCAACTAGACACACGGGGAAATGGGGCAGGCACCCGAGGGGTCTCCCTATACACCGCCCCTCTGCACAGTGTGATTTCATGGTGAAAAGGCCACCGCTGTTGTCCCGTTTCTCTAATCAGTCAGATGGAAACTTCTCTTTTTATGGATTGTTTGTGGCGTCACTTGCAGCAAGGATGCTGGTTTACCTCTTAGACCAAACTGTTTTTCGAAAACTTGAACTGTGGTTAGTAAAGATTTACCTCCTGTCATCAAAAATGTCGGTCTTTCTATATGTTCCATAGTCATCATTCAAATTACTGTGATACCTAAAGGTCAGAATCTGTTTTTGTGTCCATGTACTATACAGAAATGGTTAGACTACAACCTAAATCAGCAAACAAGTTTCTATCACAACCAGTGGCGTGTAGCTAAACCAGTAATTTAATAGTGTGGGGGGTGCTAATTTGTAGTGTTTGCCAATTTCCGTGGTGTAAATATTCCCTTAAGGGCTGCTTTCCTGCCACTATTAGTTAAACAACCAAATTGCTCAAAGTATAATAATTGGCTTTCACAAGCCAGTAGAAACCAGCTCTCGAATACCACTGAAACAACACTGAGGGACAAGAGACAAGGTTTTTATGTTTGGTCAGTTGGTTGGGTGTGAATTGCTCCAGGTCTGTCCCATAAGGTCTGCGACAACAGGCTTTGGGTATTTAAATCACATTTGTTCAAAGTATAATTATCATAGTATCTGATTTGATACTGTTCTGTAAGCCAAAGTTATATGCTATTTTAAAGCCCCATTAAATACAAGTATAACAACATAGTGTTATGTTGAAAAGGCTTGTATTGCTACAGTGGCAAGTTTATTTTATTTTATTTTATTTTTTAATTTTTTTATTTTTTTTGAGACAGTCTCACTATGTAGTTGAGACTGCCCTGGAACCTACTATGTAGCCCAGGCTGGTCTTGAACTCACAGCGATCCTCCTGCCTCAGCCTCCCAAGTGCCTGTGCCACCATGCCCAGTTCAAACAAGTTTTAATATTTTAAATTCTTTTGGCAGTATAGTAAGGCACATATACAATTATTCTTAGTCACAATATTTGAATGAATGCAAAAGGGTACTGTTTGAAACGATGTCTTACTTTGCTGGTGTTAACATTTGTCCTCTCTTACAGGTATTCAGGAAGGAACACAATGTACCAAATGTAAGAGTAACTGGGCACTGAAGTTTTCTATCATATTATTATACATTTTGTGTGCCTTACTGACCATCACAGTAGCCATTTTGGGATATAAAGGTAAGCACTCTTTCCTCCCTCTTTACAAATAGCAAGTTTCTCTTCATTCATTTAAGCTTGGAAAAGTGCAAGTGTGAAGCACAGCTGACCCTCAGTTCTGGTCCTGCCCACATCAGACTCCATGGACGCTGGAGTCCCTGCTATCAGCTGGCGCAGTATTTCCCTAACCTACACTTGTCTTTGGTGTACGCTGAAAGGTCGGTCTGTAGAGTGCTTGCTTACCTAATAAGATACAAATCTGTGTAAGTAGTGGTCATACCAAATTATTTAAGAAATGGTAAGAAAAACATCTGCACTTTTCGGTAAAAATGAAGGGTTTCTTTCCCATTTTTTTTTTTTTTTTTTTTTTTTTTTTTTTTTTTTTTTTTATCAGTGAACTGATGGTTTCTGTTTTTGGTACCAGGGATCAAACTCATGACCTTGTGCTTATGAGGCAGACGGGTGCCACTGAGCTAAATCCCCAGCCCAAAATGAGGGGTTTTTTTTTTTTTTTTTTTTTTTTTTTTTTTTTTTTTTTTTTGGTACCAGGGGTCACACTCGGGTCCTTACGCTTGCCAGGCAGGCGCTGGAACCACTGAGCTAAGTCGCTGGTCCTCCCCCAGGTATTTTTCAGTCCAAGCTTGGCTGAATTGCAGTACCCACTGATACCGAAATGTAGCTGCTCTACATCTCTGTAACTCACGTGCAAAGTTCAGTGCCCTCCTGAGCTCCGTCACTGTGTCCTGAGCGTTTAGACTCGGGATCCGTGGGCGAGGGCAGTGATAGTTCCTCTGTCTCCTTTCAACAGCAGTGACGGTCCTCTAGGAATTACGAACATTTCCCCCTTTGTTGCCCTTTTCCTATTTGCAGCCCCCACCCCCATTTTTCTTTCCCTCTTATCTCAAGGAGGCTCTGTGGGAGCTGCCATCAGCACACAGAAAACCGCTACTGGTAGGGGATGAGCAGATCCGAAGCCCTGCACAGATACGAAGCTCACTGCACACAGGGATGGGCCAACTCACTCCCTTGGTCTCTTCAGCACACTACCAGGGTCACTATTGTTCATATAGTGCCACCATGCCTGGCCTGTAATCCCAGCATTTGGGAGGCTGAGGCAGGAGGATCATAAGTTCAAGCTCAGCCTGAGCAACTTAATGACTCAGTGTAACTCTGTCTGAAAAATAAAAAGGGTTTTTCTGAAGGCTGGGGAGGTGGCTCGGAGCAAAATCCCAGGGTTCAATCCCTGGTACCACACACAACTGGACAGATGAGCTGAGCCCTTCTTTCTTCCTTGGCCCACAGACCTGGCCCAGGAAGAAAAAGGTCCAGAGTGAGCTCCACCCTGTCACTCCTCCCGCTCTGCCCAGTGTCCTGCGACTCCCAGGGAGACAGCGCCCTCCGGTGGGGGGTGGACCTGGGGACCAGGTGGCCTGAGTTCAGGTCTTGACACGTTCCGCTGTGATGCGATTGTGAATGCTCAGCCAGCGCTTGTGCATGTGCCGGGCACCAGGGCCTGGGTGTGAGTCATCACGCTCAGAGTTTCCGATTTCTTATCTGTCAAATGGCACCGCTGTGCCGCTTTTCAGGACAGCTGGGATGAGCAGCGGTGACTGGACTGCAGCTGCCCCAGTGTAGTGACTCCCACAGCCCTCTGTGCCTGGCCCCTTCCTCCCCCATCCACATAGCCAGTGCCATTGTTCGGAGCCCACAGGCTGGACAAGGCTTTTTAGTCCTACCCACCAAAGTGGCATGCGTCCCACAGCGTTGAGATGAATTTGGGCAGCACTGGAAATGACCAGGTTGCTTTATCCACTCATGATGAGCTCACGTACCCCGATAGCCTGGCGTTGTCAGATGAAGCAGCAAACACGGGGCGATGACGACATTGATGAAGTGGGGGCGAGGCTGGGGAGGGCTGGGACCTCCTGGAGGAGGGAGGGCATCCTGTCCCTGTCACCCAGGATACGGGTTATGACTCGGGCCTGGCGCCTTTACTTGGTGATCTGAGGTAAGACAGGCATGAAATCAAACAGCCATTTAGGAAGCACCTGCGGAGCTTAGTACCATGAGATACCAGGAGAATACACATGACAGCTAGAAAGGGGGACAGGAGTCGGAAATGTGTAACATTTCTGTCATTTTTACCTCTGCTAGGAAATACGGGCTCGGATCTTTATGCCCTGCAGAGCTACACAGAAAGATCCAGGGGAGGGTTTCCCCCAATTTCGGTCGGTCTGTTCAAAGGCATCTCCTCCACTCTTACCCACTGGAAGTCCTGCAGGGCCGCCAAGATGTCCGTGCTCTGTTCATGTGCCTGGGGCACCTTCTCCAGCTCCCTACCCTCTGCTTCCTCTGGCCCTCCACGTCCGCCCGCTGAGCCACACGTACCTCGCAAGGCCCCTCCCGGCCCTCAGACACCTCCCCTGCCCACTGCGCTCTATTCACCCTTGTCCCTGTCACACTGTCTGCCCTGTGTCCGTGTGTTGCTTGTCTGTCCCCCCACCCAGCCACACGTTTCTGCGAAAACTGTTACATCTCCTCCTGGTACCTGTCCTCACGATATCCCACAGGGACCTGCAAAGTGTATTGAACGAGTCGGCAGGAGGGTGGATTGACGGACGGACAGACAGACGGTGACTGATTATGGGGAGGGTACCGCGAAGGCCACCTACTTGGGCAGGACCGCTGCCCTCAGAATCCTGTCCAGAGACTGGACATCCAGGCGTCGGCTTGGCCCGGTCCAGGGCGCAGTCTCACCAGGGTGGGGAGAGAAAGCCCCCGAGCAGCACGTAGGACGGGAGGCAGGATGATGCTGTGTTCCCCTCTTCCCTCCCCCCTTTCCTCACCCCTCAGCCCTCTGCTTCTGGAGGAAGATAAAGCATGCAACACACACTTCTGGTTTCCAAACAGAGCCTTAAAGACCTCGGCCTCCCATGTTTTCCAGCTTTACTTTCTCTTTCCCTGCACTGGGATGCCTCGTTCCTGCTGATAAGATTAAGCCAACCCAATCTTACGAAAGGCAGGAAGATAAGGCCCAACTCTCCCTTCACCCACCTCCCTCTGATGGCTGGAAAGACTTCCTCTTAAAAAAAAAATAAGGAAAAAGTATTCAGTGCAAGAAGTGTTTCTCTGAAGGAATGGTTGAAGTGAATTGAAACTCTTTTATTTGTACTCCACAGGGCAGCTCAAACCCAGTGGTGCTCTACACTGAGCTATACCCCTGGGCTTTTTTATTTTGAGACAGTGCCTTGCAAAAGCTGACCTTGAACTTGCAGTCACCCTGCTTTAGCCTCCCTCATAGCTGGAATTACAGGGTGAACACCACTGTTCCTAGCAAAACTCCTTTATTTATCAGAGTTGGCAAAGGCAACTCCAGCAGTTTTCCTCAAAAGCATTCTGTACGCCTTCTCTCACGTCACTCCCGGAGCTCCGAGTTAGGAAGGAGTGAAGTTTCTCCTAGGGAGTCTGCTAGCCCGCCAGAGCATCACTCAGACACCAGACAGCCTGTACCGTGGCTTTGCAGGAAACTCGTGCATGCATTTACAGCTTGGCACACCCTCTGCTCGGGCTGCTTAGCAACAGTCAGGGAGGCTTCCGGGCGGGAGCCCTCTGAAATGTTCAGTGTTTCTTCCAGAACATTCCCTGAATGAGAAAATCCCATCCATCATCCTGCCCAGCAGGCAGCCTTCTTAAGGTAACGGGTATAGAGAGAAAGACAGAAATCTGAATCCTTCTCAGTAAGTCTCCTCGTTCAACTCAAGATTCTGAGCCCATAGCATGTCTATTTGCTGCTAAGCTCAGCCAAAATGGCATTTTTTATTGTTGCTGTTTTTCTCGGTACCAGGGAGTGAGCCCAGGACCTTCTGCTTGTGAGGCAGGCAGCGGCACCACTGAGCTAAATCCCCAGCCCTGTTGCTCCTGTTTTTGAGACAGGGTCTCCTGATGTATTCTGGCTGGGCTTGAACGCACTGTGTAGCCCAGGCTGGCCTCAGTCTTCCTGCCTCAGCCTCCTGAGCACTGGGACTATAGATGTGTGTCACCACACCCAGCTCTAAAATTGCAATTTCAATAGGCTAAGTGAGCTTTCAAGATGTACCTCAAATCACCCTGAAGAGCTCTCGGGAACTCAGGATAGCACCCTGAAACAGCTTTCACATTTCTGCAATGAAACCTGAAATAGCGTTCAGGGTAGGGATGGCCCTGCCGAGCCCCCGGGGGGCAGACCTGGCATTATGGGAAGTCCCTGGAGCCAGCGGGAGGCCCTGTCGCTCTGGGCACCGTGATCAGTGCTACAAACACTTGAGTACCAGGCAGGAGCACTGTGCTCTGTCCTCGTCCCTGCCCTATAGGCTGGGGCTCTATGGCCCATGACTCGTGAATCTTCAGTGTCTGGCACGGCCCCACCCACGTGGCAGATGCTGACTTCAAAGAAAATATAAAGAAGTCATAACCCTCCTCTTCGGGGTTCTCTTTTTTGGAGGAGACTGGAATGAGGGGAAAGAAGTACTCAATGGAAAGCAAAGTGGAGTTGTGGGGGAGAACAGAGTTTGACCCCCTGCCTGGTAGCCTGCTTAGTTCCAAGCTGTGTGACTGTGAGCAAGCGACTGAACCTCTCTGAGCCTCAGATTCTTATCTGTTAAAACAGGGAGTGATGGTGAAGAAGATGTGAAGAATAGGAAATCGTCTTCTTATAGACACAGTGAAGGCTCAGTCAGTGTGCTCTGGATTTGGGTCCTAGGCAGTGTTTATTCGGTGGGGCAATCAGGCCTGGAGTGGACCTTAAACAATGGGGAGAGCCAGGCACATATATATATATATATAATCCTAGTAATAGGGAGGCTGAGGCAGGAGGATTAACCAGCATGGGTTCCACAGTGAGTTCAAGGCCACCCTGAACTACATAGGGAGACCCTGTCTCAAAAAAGAAAAACCAACTAGGGAGCGGGGAGAGACAAGGAAAGAGAGGTTAGTGGCCAAGAGCAAGGGTTGACACTGAAGTGCTTTTTGGTTATGATTGCTACATTATCCTAAGGAATTAGGACCTGAGGGACCCAAAGAGGGGCACTGCTCCGGGTGTAACACCTGAAACTCAGTGTTCTGAAGAGAGACCCCACTTCAAGAAGCCATTCCTATGAAAGGGGCCCTGGTAACAGCCGCTGAGCTGGAGAATGTGCTGCAAATGAAGAAAAAGCCAGGAGGACATCGTGAGCGAGTAGAAAGGGTCAGGCCCGGGGCCCCGTCTGCCGTGGGGTCTGATGGACGAGCAAGCTGAAGTTTGCGGCTGCAGCCCCAGATCGGGTTCTCAAACCACACACGCTCCACACGCAAACCCAGCAGGGCTCTGTGGCCAGGACAGGGAGTTGCCTTGCCACAAAGAAGATAAAACTTAAGTTTCCTGGTGCTCCTCTGCATGATTGCTTTTACTCTAAGCAAACCTGAATCATTTGTCCCAAGCAGTTCTGTGTTTTCGTAAACTAAAATGGAAGAAAAGTGAGAGAGCGTACAAAACGCCTGCATCTCAGCATATTCGGAGGATCTTTGGCTGCCAGGGATGAAAGGCAGGGCTTCCGACCCCGCGTGTGTCTGAGGACAGACTGAAGTACGGGTTTTGAGAATCAAAACTGACCTGAAATGTGTAAACATTTCATTTTTATTTTTTTTAAATTGAGCTCTGCTACAATAAATGCACATGATGCATTTTGTTCTTCGGTGTTTCAGGGACTTAGCAGTATCGTGCCAGCCACGACACGAAGGTACACATTCTTATGCCCAGGCCTGTGTGTCCATGCGGTCCCTTCTCGAACGATGATGATTCAGTGAAATGTCCCACTCACTGCTGGTGCGGAGGCTTCCCCGGGCTGATGGTTTGGAGGTTTCTTACATGACTTAGCCAGTTTTCCCCAGGCAGACGCTCACTTACTTAAATAAATGGTATCATAAGTGTTTGTTGAACGACTCGGTGTGAGCTGGAGATAAAAATGAATACAGGGCTGGGGATTTAGCTCAGTGGTTCTGCCGCCTGCCTCGCAAGTGCAAGGGTCCGAGTTCGATCCCCGTTATCCAAAAAAAAAAAAAAAAAAAAAAAAAAAAAAAAGTGAATACAGCCAGGTGTGGTGGCGCACACTTGTAATCCCACCACTCAGGAGGCTGAGGCAGGAGGAATGCTGTAAGTTCAGGGCCAGCCAAAAAATAAAAACTAATAGATTGCAGCTTAGGATGGTTCTGCTGAGGTTTAAAAATTTATTATGGTGAAAGGAGGATGTAATCATTAGAAACTGTACTTGGAATTTTGAATTTGGCTCTTTTCCTGGTCCAGCAGCAGGGGACATGATCCCCTTCTGTGACTCTGGCTGGGTGGTGCTTTGCGGCTCCGCTGTGATGCTCTGTAGGTTAGGTGGCTTCCAGACATTTGTCACTCCAGTAGTGTCACTTGCAGTAGGTTTATTAGGACAGCAGCCCCTCTGTACAGACGGTCCCGTCCTAAACACAGAACAGCCATGACCGCACGGCGGGCGAGTCCTGCGGCGAACTCAGGTGGTGAGCACAGGCTGCTCTTGCTAGAGTCCTGCAGGTCAGCTCGGCGGGGCTGCCATAGCCACTGAGTGCTGCTGCACAAGTGAGACTTTCCATCAGTGAAGAAGCCGGGCAGGAGGTTTCGGTGGAGAGAAGACAGACAGAGAGGCTCTCGGGGAGAGGCCTCACACATTTGACTGGGGCCAAGCTGTAGGCGCCTAAGGGGAGGCACAGGGAGCCGCTCCAGGAGCGTCCTGGGACCCGCGGAGCCGCTCACAGGACCTTCTGCTGGAGAGCAGCCAAGAGCATCTTCGTGTACTCATGCATGGCTGGAACTCTTGGCCTTAGCCTGCAATTAGTACACAAAAGAGATTCGTGCTTTTTAAAAAGTCAATTATGAAATAGAAGCTTAATACCAAGGTCAGCCAGGAGCAGAGTACAGGTCATATACTGCCTTCTTCCCAGGAGGATCCCCGAAGATCAGGAGTTCGGGCCAATCTGTGCATCACAGAGAGCGCCTGTCTCTAGAAACACTAACAAAGAATCTTCTCGGTAAATCACTGTTTGAAAGCACCACCTTAAGGCACCTGTGCGGGTACAGATCTAATCACCACTAATGAAAACCGGGCTTGGGGGCCTCGGGGACAACTCGTGACAGGGACTGGTAAGCACGCTTACCTCTGTCCTTTTGGGGGGACCGGTGTACAACTTGAGCTAGGGGCCCTTTGGCAATGTGACGCCCTTCAGGCCGGGACAGGCCCTCCTATAGGAATGCTAGATAGTGACGGAATGTAAACAGTCAGTGTTCTTTAACTCTGTGTGTAGAGATTAACATAAATACTACAGATCGAAGACTAAGTACATTTTAAAATTTAAAGATTGGTATGTGAAGCTTCTTTTTATTTTTTATTTTTTGAGCCAGGGTCTCACTATGTAGTTGAGACTGACCTGGAACTCACTGTGTAGCCCAGGCTCATCTCAAACTCCCAGGGATCGATCCTCCTGCCTCAGCCTCCTGAGTGCTGGGATACAGGTGTGTGCCACCACGCCCGGCTCCTCATATTTTATTGTAATTTATACCTTTTGTTTTGGTCTGTTTCCTCTGTTCTATAATGAAATGTTCTACTGTTTTGAGACTGAAAAATCAAATACGAGCAAGTATGTGGACTAATACTTTGTTTTCCAAATCTTAGTTGTAGAGAAAATGGACAATGTGACAGGTGGCATGGAGACATCTCGCCAAAACTATGATGACAAGCTCACAGCAGTGGAAAGTGACCTGAAGAAATTAGGTAATTGGCACCAAGAGGAGCCATTACATCGAAGCCCCTTACTCCGTGTGAAAGACCACAGCGGCCAGAAGAACGCTGCTCTAACGCCCATTTACACGGGAGGACATTCAGTTGGGTGTTGGGTGTTGAGTCTTCATGATTTAATTCAAAGATTTAAACGTCCATTTTGGAGAGTCCTGCCCCCAGAACTATAGATGCAAGTATCTGAAGATCAAAGCCAGGCTAGTGGCATAGGCCTGTAATTCCAGCACTTTGGGGAGGCCCAGGCAAGAGGATTATCAATTCAAGCCCAGCCTGAGGGACTCAGTGAGACTTTCTCTCAAAATAAAAGGGCTAGGAGGTAGCTAGGTGTGAAGGCTGGGATGCAATCCCTAGGACCAGTCAGCATATAAAGCAATGGGAGGATGGATGGAGCTCAGTACAAAGGTACTGGGTTGATCCCGGGTCCAAACGAAACAAAGCAAAACATTACAAGTACCCCTGGCTAAAGGCTCTTTGATAAAATGTTCGATAAGCCTATCTGACGTATTTTTAATTGCACGGGCTTGTAGAATTTATAAAAGATTGCAGCCTCTTCTGTTCCTTGATTTGGGGATTTGAAATGCAGTGCATGCCAGTCAAGTATGTCTAGGATCTCTGACCCTTCTCGGAACACTTCTCCGTCCCACCAGTCTGAGTAACAAACATTTCTTATTCCAGGGGACCAAACTGGGAAGAAAGCGATCAGCACCAATTCGGAACTTTCCACGTTCAGGTCGGACATTCTGGATCTTCGCCAGCAGCTTCGTGAGATTACAGAAAAGACCAGCAAGAACAGAGACACGCTGGAGAAGCTACAGGCAGGTGGGGATGCGCTGGTGGACAGGCAGCGCCAGCTGAAAGAAACTCTGGAGAACAATTCTTTCCTCATCACCACTGTCAACAAAACCCTCCAGGCGTACAATGGCTATGTCACGAACCTGCAGCAAGACACCAGCGTGCTCCAGAGCAACCTGCAGAACCAGATGTACTCCCACAGTGTGGTCATCATGAACCTCAACAACCTGAACTTGACCCAGGTGCAGCAGCGGAACCTCATCACCAACCTGCAGCGGTCGGTGGATGACACCAGCCAGGCCATCCAGCGCATCAAGAACGACTTCCAGAACCTGCAGCAGGTTTTCCTTCAAGCCAAGAAGGACACGGACTGGCTGAAGGAGAAAGTGCAGAGCTTGCAGACACTGGCCGCCAACAATTCCGCCTTGGCCAAGGCCAACAACGACACCTTGGAGGATATGAACAGCCAGCTCAGCTCCTTCACAGGGCAGATGGACAACATCACCGCCACCTCACAGGCCAACGAGCAGAACCTGAAGGACCTTCAGGACTCGCACAAGGACGCAGAGAACAGAACGGCAATCAAGTTCAGCCACCTGGAGGAACGCTTCCAGCTCTTTGAGACGGACATCGTGAGCATCATTAGCAACATCAGCTACACAGCCCACCACCTGCGGACGCTGACCAGCAATCTGAACGAAGTGAGGACCACTTGCACGGATACCCTAACCAGGCACACTGACGACTTGACCTCCCTGAATAACACCCTGGCCAACATCCGCTTGGACTCGGTCTCTCTCAGGATGCAGCAAGATCTGATGCGATCCCGGTTAGACACGGAGGTAGCCAACTTGTCAGTGATTATGGAAGAAATGAAGCTCGTGGATTCCAAGCACGGTCAGCTTATCAAGAATTTCACCATCCTGCAAGGTAAGTGCGAGATCTGAATTTTGTTTGCATTAGTTTTTCCTATGGAACAAATCACTGTAAAGCTTGGCCATTTAAAACGGTAACTGTTTTCTCATTGTGGGGATCAGGCATTCGGGAGTGGCTTGGGCGCTGGTTCAGGCTCAGTGACTTTCATGCGGTTGGAGACTGTTAACCCAGGCTGGAGTACTGAGGACCCTGCCCGCCTGACCCGCTTGGTGGTGGGCACAAGGCCTCAGCTCCTCCCTGCAGGACACTGCTGGTGTGTTGTCAGACGTGGAGCTGGCTGTGCCCACAGCAAGTGCCCTGAGAGAGGGGCAACACCAAAGCCCCGGATCCTCTGTGTCACACCTCGGAAGTCCCGCACCTCTGCTGTCAGCAGAGCCCGTCCTTCAAAATAAATCCCTCCCTGGGTTCAGCCCACACACGAGGGGAATTAAACTACACATCTTAAAAAGGGGTGGAAGTAACGATGACCCATTCCTTATTCATCCAATGAAAGGCCAGTTAACGTGGATTTTCTCACTACCGGCATCATTTCAATGCCACTATAAATTGAGGCCCCTCTGAAAGTAAGACTGTCCTAGGTCACAAAGCTACCACGAAGCGCTGACCGGTTCCAAGTGTCCTTAACAGCAGGAGGGTTGGCGTCACAGTAACTGCCAGGCCACAGAGGGCAGAACTGATGTGATTGGTATGTAAAGTCCGAGTTGTATTCTAATCCAGGTCAAGGATCCATGAATTGCAAGTCCTTGACTTAGATTACACCTGCTTTTGAGGATTTGCGGCAACTATGTAATAATATTTTCTAGTCCTAAATACTTGCCCACTGGCTTGGACCACCAGGGGTGCGTGTGTCGGTCCACGCAGGTGCTCAGGATAGGACACTCGTGCAGAGCCAGCAGGGGGTCACACCAGTGCGAGCATAACACGTTCCCATCCTCCGAGCTGCCGGCTGAGAGACGCACAGACAGGGCCCCTCCGGAACGTGTTAAGGAGGAAGTGCAATGTGGAGGGTGCGGAGCTGAGCTCTGTGCTGTGTCCAGAGAAGCCCTTAGGTGGCTTAAAATCAAGAGAATTTCAGGGCATCAGAAAACACGGTTCAAGGCAGAATGGACCTGAATCTCACAAAAGGGGAAAAAGTAGATTCTATGCCCTGAAGTGAATGAGGAACTTATCTCCCAATCTAAGATTTGAGATTATAAAAAAAGATCATTTGTGAGGTTTCAGGCAGTTTGCACTGAGCACAGCGAGTTCTCTAAGAAGCAAGATCCCATCTAGCTCCCTTCCATGGCCAGAGTGCTGCGACTGGCGGGATTTAACAGCATGTCCGGGTTTCCCCGAGGCCCTTGACAGCAATACCGCTAAGAACGAGGTAGAGGAATAGATGCTGGGTTTCAGTACAATTAGGTGAACGCACACTGCTTAGAGTGACACCTGTTCGTGGTCTCCTAGATTCTGTGGGTCAGGAGTCCAAGCATAGCTCGGTGGGTCTTCTGCTTGGGTTCCTCCCAAGCTGCAGGCTTGCTGAGGGGCTGTCGGTGCAGCGAAAGCTCAGCTAAGGACAGATCCATTGCCGTGTTCCCTTGAGTTTGTGGTACTCTTTTTTTGAGACAGAGGCTTGCTAAGTTGCCTGGGCTGGCCTAGAACTCATGATCCTCCTGCCTCAGCCTCCTGGGTGCATGGGATTACAGGTGTATGCTTCTATGCCTGGCGCACAACTCATGAAGTTCCTGATCTCTCTCTCGCTGTCATCTGGGGACTGCTCTCAGCTCAGGGGCCACCAGTTCTCAGTCATGTGGTCACCTGCTGCCACTGCAGCTCCTTCAAAGCCTGCAAGGGAGTCTCCCTCGCTCCATTCTGCTACAGTGGAGCCTGCAACATGGCCCCTTAAATAAAGGGGGTGACTTCCCATTGTCCTTGCCATGTCCTGTTGGTCAGAAATCACAGAGTCCACACTCAGTGGGAAGGGACACCACCAGGGTATGCGTCACTGGGGGAGGGGGCCCCCTACGCTGCGCCTGCCGCTTCGGTTGAATGACCAAGTATAAAGAGTGGAGTTGTTGGGTACAGAGGTCCATGCCTGTGATCCCAGCTACCTGGGGGGCTGAGTGTGGCAGGAGGATTGCAGATTCAAGGCTGGCCTTGGCAACTCAGACTCTGTCTCAGAATCGAATAAAAAGGGCTGGAGATGTGACTCGGTGGTGGAGCATTTGCCTAGCACACACGGGGCCCTGGGCCCAATCCCCAGGACCCGCCCCGTCCCCAAAGTGTGGTCGTTAGCGGGCCCTCATGAGCCCGGGGCAAGTCCAGGTGGCAGACGGCAAGACCCTGATCGGCAGCTCTGTCTGTGACCAGCATGAGGACATGGGTGGCCCAGCAATCTGATACTTCTGTTGACCCAAAACTGTACGACCTGTTAAGTGAGAGAATCATATTCAGAGCGATCCAAGAGGCTGGAATAGTAGCAAGACTGCGATGAAGTAGACAGGGCACACATAAAACCCCAGTAGGAGACGGAGACCGCACAGACCAGTGTCAATGGGAGAGCCAGGCCCGGAGGACGTGAACAGGGCAGGGGTTTTAGTTGGCTGGAAGCAATTAAATGTGACTTCCAGGAAGCTAACGGGGTCTTTTCCTGTATTACTGAAAGTGCGATCTGCAGAGTGAGGGAGATGGTGTCTTCCTCTGCTCCGTGGTCTTGGAAAGTTTTTTCCGGGGACCGGGATTCCACGAGGAATGTTCACAGCCCAGAATGCCCAGAAGAGTAGGACCAGGGAAGCACTGAGGACCTGGGGCCTTCTTCACCTGTAGGAGAGGCTGCCCCGTGGGCACGGGAGCCTTCTGCACCCATCTCAGAGGCACCAGACGCGTGCAGAGTGAAACAAAGATGAGTTAGGTGCAGGTTAATGAAAGATGATTTGGGCTTCATAGAACGTTCTTTATAAAAATCAGTGTACCTGAGAACGTATGAGCTTCACCCTCACCTGGCAGCATGGCCACCTGCCCCAGCCTCTGCTTTAGAAATCGCATCTCACCCCCCAGGCCGTGACATCACCGACATGAGCCCACAGGCTCCATACCCATGCCCACCCCAACCCCTTAGCCACCATGTTAGGTGTCCAGCATCCTGGAACGTTGTACCCAACGTGTCCAGATCCAAAGGGACAACCAAGAGTCACTGGTGCACTAGAGGAGTCCGGGTGGCATGGACGGAAACTGGACACCGGGTGTGGGGTTGGTGTCCCGCTGCTGGCTGGGCGGGGGGAGAGGAAAGCAGAGAACGGGTACCTGCTGCATTCTTCGTGGGAGCTCCGCGATGGCCCAGACCAGGTGTAGAAAGAGGCTCGTTGGGACCTCCAGGGAGAGGTCGTGGGAAGGCAGGATCCTGGAAATGGCCAGCACTCCATTTCTGAGAGCTACTCTTTCACACACGTTCGCCTCATTGCATTGATCCCTGGTCTGATTGTTCAGCACACGTTCCAGGACTTGATCTGAGACCAGCAGGACACAGGGCACCCACAGGTGTCCCAAGCAAACAGGAGCCAGGGAAGACCCCACTCCTGAGTGCAGGTCATCTCTGCACAGCTGCAGCCCCAGCCCTTCCTCCTGCTGCACCTGCACAGCTTGTCCCTGAGCAGGAAAGGTGGGCCCAGTGCAAAGGATTAACACAGCTTTATGTGGGCCTTCCCTCGTGAGACCCAAAACATACACTTTCCAGGAAGTTGTCGATGAATTGCATCCCATAAGCTCCTGTGCTTGTAGTTCAGCCACCTAAGACATTTGCCTCATTAGAAGTGGAAACTGCCAGGCACGGCGGTACACGCCTTGGTCCCAGCACTCTGGGAGGCTGAGGCAGGAAGACTGTAAGTTCAAGCCCAGCCTGGGCAACTTAGTTAAGTCTGTCTCAAAATGAAAAACAATAAAGGGGGAAGACATAAGGTTTAGTGGATGAGATAAGATCTCTGGAATTAGTCCTGGGCTCAACTCCCAAATTGCCTCATCTATGTTGTGAACCTTTTGCTTCTGAGGACTCAGCAAGATGATGTAAAATACAGTGTGTGGTGTCTAGCATGGCGTTAGCATAATACCCAGGTGTGGACAAGTGCAGTTCCTGGTAAAGATTTCCTTCTGGCTGAGGGGTGGCTCGGTGGCAGAGGACTTGCCTGGTGAGCTCGAGATCCTCGGCTTAGTCTCCAGCCTGTGGGAGAAGAGGATTTCCTAATACACTGTAATGGAGAAGCAAACAGCTTCCTATGCACAGGAATAACACTGTATGCATCCAGATCCTGTAGACTTTCCTGCTGGCTTCCGGTCCAGTGTCCAGCCCTGACAGGAGTCAGACTCGGGTGCTGCCACGGCTGGTTTTCTCCGGTCTGCATTCCCAGAGTTCCACAGTCTGCGGATCACTCTGAGCACTTGGATGAATGGTCTGCTTTCATTGTTACATCTCTTAAAGCTGGGAATCCCTAGGATTCCCCATTTGTGGGTGAGAAAACTGAGGCACAGGGAACTTGGGTAACTTACCCAAGGTCAAACAGCTAGTAAGTGGCAGCCAGTACTGGTTCCCGAATGTGGATTCCGCCGTGGTACCCTAGTGCCTTGTGCTGGCCTAGAACGGCTTAGAGGGGGCAGAGGACGGAGAGTCTGTTTGCAGAAGTGCAGTCGGTCAGGGTTGACATTTAGCTGAAGCATAAGCTGCACCCAAAGTCTGGAAGGACAGGGGATGATGCAAAGTCCACCTGTGAACAGGAGGCCTTGGTGTCTCCCACGAACACCCCACGGCCAGGGCTCCACCTCCCCCAGCAGCACTGCACGCCTGGAGTCCTCAAGAGCAGCCAGGAGAAGACATGGAAGCCCCCTGTGAGCAGCATGTGAGAAGCAGTGGTTTCACTGTCGCCTTCTTTGGGAGAAGTACAATAGGAACTTTCTGTGCCTTTCCAGAAGCTCACTCTTGTAAGCTTGAGGGCAAGAATCAGATTATTCTTCCCAACAACTGCCAA